GAGGGAGAGGGAAAGAGAAAAAGAATGGACACACCTGGCCAGGTAGTATGAGCCTGTAGTCACAATTGCTTGGGAGGTTGAAGTAGAAGGATTACTTAAGGTCAGGACTTCAAGGCTATCCTGGGAAATACAGTGAGATCTCATCTCAAAAAAGAGAGCTTAGCCAGTAATCCTCAAACTGGTAATCCTAGCTACTCAGGAAGCTGAGATCTTAGGGGCGACAGTTCAAAGCCAGCGTAGATGGGAGACTCTGAGAAACTCTGATCTCCAATTAGCCCCCAAAAGAGGCTGGAAGTGCAGATGTGGCTCCAGTGCTAGAATTCTAGACTTTTGTGATAAATTTTGGAGACTACACATATTTTTTAAAAAGCCTTGCATTTTTTTCAGTGTAATTGCTGTGAATTCTTTCTGTGTCCTCCTCAAGCCAATCCAATTTTCCAGCTCAGAGAGTCCAAGTCCTCTTCCCTACGGACGTTCCGCATCTCTCTATCACAATGCTCTCTGATCACACTGAGTTGTAGCTGCCACGTGGCCATCACTACACCACCATACCACCACATTACCATACCACCAAACCACATCACCACCCCACTACACAAGAACAGGTCACCATACATTACCACACCACATTACCACATCACTACACTACCACTTTATCATATCACCACACCAGCACATTACCACACCATACCACCAATTACCATACCACCACACATTTTTTTTCAGTCATGGGGCTTGAACTCAGGCCCTGGGTGCTGTCCCTGACCTCTTTTGCTCACTTCAAGTGACAGCATCACTTCCATGGCTTTTACTTTTTATGCTTTTTTGTTGTTATTGATTCTTGTATCAATCCCGGAACACCCTCAACCACTAAACTTTGGCTTTTAAAGTATAGATTCTTAGCCAGGGGCCAATGACTCATCCCCATTATCTTGCTAATTATAAGGTTGCCACCTGGATGATCAGGGTTCAAAGCCAGCCAGGGCAGAAAAAGTCTGAGAGTCTCTATGCTCTAATTAGCCAGCACAATGCCAAAGCTAGAGGCTTAGGTGACAAAACCACAGCCATGTGCAGAAAAGCTGAATGAGAGACTAAGGTCTTAAGTTCAAGCCCCAGGACCAGCACAACAAATAAGCAAACATATAGGTTTTTTTCTCTTTAACTCATCCCAATGTAAAGGTTCAAACTATCACTTAAAGATAACATATTGTGTCCGTGGCTCACACCTGTAATCCTAGCTACTCAGGAGGCTGAGATCTGAGGATCATGGTTCAAAGCCAGTTCAGACAGGAAAGTCTGTGAGACTCTTTTCTCCAATTAACTACCAAAAAACTGGAAGTGGTGCTGTGGCTCAAGTGGTAGAGCACTCACCTTGAGCTGGAGAATTCAAGGACAGTGCCCAGGCCCAGAGCTCAAGCCCTATGACCCATCAAAAAAAAAAAAAGAGAACATGTATTTTTTAAAAAAATTCCTGTCACGGGGCTGGGAAGGTGGCTCAGTGTTAGAGCGCTTGCCTTGTATGCCTGAGGCCCTGGATTCGATTCCTCAGCACCACATAAGCAAAAAGAAAAAAGCCGGAAGTGGCGCTGTGGCTCAAGTAGTAGAGCGCTAGCCTTGAGCTGAAGAGCTGAGGGACAGCGCCCAGGCAGAGTTCAGGCCCCACAACCAGACCAATAAAAAAAAAAATCCTGTCACATTAAGTCAGAAAACTTTTGGTATCAATTCTGCAACTCAGAGTCTAATTACCAGACCATAAGTATACTCTGGAAGTAAACACAGTTCTAAGCCAGGTACTGGTGGCTAATGCCCGCAATTGTACCTACTCTGATCCAAGACAATCACAGCAGAAAAGTCTGTCAGACTCTTATCTCAAAATAATCAGCAAAAAAGCAGGTGTAGCTTGGATAGTGAGAGCCAGCCTTGAGCAAAAAAGCTAAAGGAAAGTGCAAGGCTTTCAGTCTCAGGACTGTCATGCACATGTGCACACATGCATGTGCACACGCGCACACACACACTCATGCAGGGGTACACACACCACAAAACAGCAAATAAAAGGCAGTTTTTATCGGAATTAATGAAAACAGGAAAGAGGCCCACACTTTCACTCTGAAAACGTGAGCTGTTATAGGGCATAAACCTTTAACAAAAAGTGGGGCACCGAGGACAACAACCATCATAGTACAGCACGGCACGGCACGGCACGGCACGGCACGGCACACTCTATGTTCAGTGTCTTTTCTCCAGAACTAAGATTCTAGTAACGGCACTTCTTTGACATCTCAGGGAAATTATCATCATTTATAGCCAGGACTTATTACACTATTTCACACCTAACAGACACTCAGAAAGTATTAAAGCCCTGTAAGAGGCCGAAGCGGCAGAGTGGCAAGACTCTAACCTCCTTTTATCTTCTTTTTAACAGGCTCCAAATTCTCCTGGTCCTGGGGTTCCAATAAGGGAAAGGGTGCTTCTTCTCTGTTTGGGAGAGCTGGAACAAGGTTGGAGAGTTCGTCACTGGCCAAAACTGGGTCATATCCTTTTGAGGAGATACCTACATCCCCAGACCATGGGAGAGGTGACAAACAAGAAAGGAGAGAATCTATCAGGAAAGTTTCACTGATTTAAATCAAGGGAGTTTGAAATCCCAAATATCATAGCTTAAGAATAACATGTGGTAGGGGCTGGGAAGGTAGCTCAGCGGTAGAGTGCTTGCCTTGCATGCCTGAGGCCCTGGGTTCGATTCCTCAATACCACATAAGCAAAAAAGAAAAAAGCCAGAAGTGGCGCTGTGTCTCAAGTGGTAGAGTTCTAGCCTTCAGTTGAAGAGCTGAGAGACAGCGCCCAGGCCCAGAGTTTAAGCCCCATGACCAGACCCCCCCCAAAAAAAATATTAAATTAAAAAAAAAGAATAATACCAAGTGGCACTGGACACCGATAGATCACGCCTGTCATCCTAACTACTCAGAAGGCTGAAATCTGAGGATCACAGTTCAAAGCCAGCCAGGCAGGAAAGTCCATGAGACTCTTATCTCCAATAAAAACCATTAGAAACTTTGTATGTCCCTCCCCCACGGTATAACCCCTGCTTTCACTGTATTTGAGTTGGTATAATTTGTGGAGGGGAAGGGAAAAAACAAATCGTTTAAATAGGAATACAGGTGAATCCATTGCAACAATGAGATGTACAAGTTGTTATGTGGAAATACGAACTTTACAACTTTGGTGGGGGGTGGGGAAGGGGGATGGGAAGGGGAAACAAAGGAGGAGGCTACAATGCTTGATAAGAAATGTACTCATTATCTTGCCCATGTAATTGTAACCCCTCCGTACAGTATTTTCACAATTAAAAAAAAAAAAACCACTAGAAAAACGGAAGTGGCACTGTGGCTCAAGCGGTAGAATGCTCACCTTGAGCTGAACAGCACAGGGACAGCGTCCAGGCCGAGTTCAAGCCCCACAACCAACAAAAAAAAAAGAATAGCACATGGGACAGATGCTAGTGGCTCATGCTTGTAATCCACTCATGATGTGATGCTGAGATCTGAGGATCACAGTTCAAAGCCAGCCCAGGCAAGAAAGTCTATTAAACTTTTTTTTTTTTTTGGGCCAGTCCTGGGGCTTGAAATCTGGGTCTGGGCCCTATGCTTGAGATTCTCTGTGTTCAATGCTAGCACCCTACCACTTGATCGATAGCACCATGTCCAGCTTTTTTTTTTTGGGGGGGTCCGGTCGTGGGACCTGAACTCTGGGCCTGGGCGCTGTCCCTCAGCTCTTCAGCT